CACACACACACACACACACACACACACACACACACACACACACACACGCTCTGAGATGAAAGGACAGAAAGGCAGCCAACACAGACTCACTTACTTCTATTTTATACACACACATACACAAGAAGCCGCTGGTGGAAAAAAGCAGCGTCACTCGCAGGAAGTAGGTCAAACTGCTGTTGATTCATTATTTCCTAGTGGCTAATAGCCTTTCTACGGCCTAATAAGGCAGAACGTGGCACTACATTTAACACATGATCAATCTGCGGATAATTAACGCCTAACAGGGCTGTTAATGAGAGTCTTAATGACTCGGATACCTGGCCAGTGATTTGAAGAAGCTCTTTGGTTTTGGACAGAAAAACCTGAATCTTCCCTAAGTCCAAATGACAGTATGTTTATATATTTATATACATAAGGACAGGTTTAGACAAACAATAAATCCACAACTGCTCGGACAATCATAATGTGTATTCACAAAGAAATAAACACCTTCTGTCGGAAAGGTGTTGTTGACTGAGGCTCTGTAACGGCCTCTTATCACCATCCCTCCAGGAACTGTCGCATCAAAGTTAATGAGTGTCGATGCTTTAGTCTCTGGTCGCTGTCAGAAGTACACCACACCACTGTCTTCTCTTCCTGCCAGTCCAGGTAGAGCAGAATCCATCATCACTTAGAATTTCTTCAACCAATCAGTGACAAGCTTTAAGTGGACTAACAGTGTCAGGAGGTATATGCTGATCTCACATTTCTGAAGTGAGATTTTTGTAAAATGTATATGCATAGGGCCTGCTAACGCCTCGTTCATCTGCATGTGCCGCAGCTCAGAGAGGCTTCCGGAGGACGTATTTCAAACTATTTCAAGATGCACATTTGACCGCAATTAAACGTAAAGATTTTGTCTTCTAGCTGGGCGAGCAGTATCACTCAGACGAAAAGAAGCTGCCCCACCAACATACTTACTTTCAGTGTCTTGAGAAGACAATGCCTGAAGGGTAACAACATTTGCTACACTGTATATGGATCTCATAAGGTCAGGAGATCTTTCCATGCATACTTTTAGAGCTACAGTGTGGTATTGACCACTATCGCTCAACTCTACCTGAAGAAAATTAGTTTTTATTTACTTATTTCTTCGTCTTGTTTTTTTTTTTTTATATTATCGGACAGTGGGAGAGGATAGTCGAGGAGTACTTTTGATTTGTGTTGCAGAATATAACCGGCCATCATGAGAACATTTATTACGAATATTGTACTTATATAGATATATATATATACACACATGACATCATGGCAAAGGTATACAAAACCACATGCTGATGTTTACTGCAGCTTTTTTTCCAGGTAAAACTATTAAAATGTGACTCATTTTCACATTGAATTGCTTGAAATAATGTATTTTTACAGATTATTGCTAGTAATATTATGGGAATATTACACTGCCTTACTGTGTGTCTTATTTGCTTACTAAAGGCTTCTGTAAACTACATTTTTATTACCACATAGACATTATTGATCCTCGGGGGAAATATTACAGAGACTCAGAATTAGGTTTGCAGCAGCAGCCTACTGAAATATCATCAGTTGATGTTAAAGCAGTAACGTAACTGGCAACAGTGACCTTATGTCTGTTGATCTTAGATGATTAACTTAAAGAGAATCAGGCACATTTTCATCAGATGATTACAAGAAGATGATTTAATACTTATTTTGTAATAATAAGATAATAAAGCTTGTTATATATGAGTCATGCCATAATAAGAAAACAAACCATTACATTCTACAGCCTTCATCTCAGATGGCAAGTTATGGATTTCTGAACTGGCCAAGGAGCCCAAAAGGGAGAGAACATAATTGAGTCCCAATAATCACCCAAGGGTGAACTCCTGCCACCCCAACTGATCACACAGCAGCTGGTCTCATGGCAGCACTTGAAGGCCAGAGGTCCAGCTACTCACCATGAAAAAAAAAAAAACTGATCGCCACTGCTTCTTTGTATTCACTCCACTTAACTCGTGTCTTCTCTCTCTCTCTCTCTCTCTCTCTCTCTCTCTCTCTCTCTCTCTCTGTGTGTTTATATCAATCTCCCTCTCTCTCTCCCCCTCCCCGGTTTGGGTCGGCACCAGCCTGAGGAGTTTGGCGGCACCTTGCCAGCCTCTCCACCTGGCAGCAGACCCAGAACCCGGACTCAAGGAAACAAAAAGCAGAGCCAGAACTCTCCTTATCCAAACACAAGGTCCCGCCCCACACCACACAAAACCCCAGACTCATTCTTCAGCGGGCAAAAATGCACCACAGAGTCGTTTTTCAAGTTGCTATTTGCTGTAAACGCTTGTGAGCAGGAGAAATAACATGACTAAAGATGGTTTACATTAGGCGGTAGGATATCTTGGCTGGTAAAAATGCAAATTGCTTGTGTCAATTTCCTGTTATTGTACCCAAAGTATTTTTATCAACAGCCAGCATCGTCTGTAAGCCAGCAAGTAATAAAGAAAGAAAGCCAACAGCTTGACTAACTAAACCTAAACCGTGTTCAGTGTGACAGCAGATAGTCTTTTCCAGTGGAGGTCATGTGTTGTTACATCCCTCAAGGGAAGCTTGAATGGACTAAGACTGATATCATCCTTCAGCCAGCGCTAATCACAAACTGGATGATTCTCAAGTATGAAAACTTTTGGCAGAGCTGCCAATAGCCACAAATGGATTACAGATGTTCTGAAACTAAAAAGCCTTTTTGGATTCTGACAACAGAAATAGAAGAAATCTTTTTAAACAGCAGCAACTCTCCTCGCTGAATACGATCTGGTGTTTAATTCTCTCGTTCGGAAGGGCTGATCTCGGAAAAGCAGCTCAGAAAGCTTCGCTGCCAGACGCTGTGAGTCAGAGTTTTCAGAGGGAGAAGGATCATTTCCTAAATAGAGCGCAAACAATCAATGAAAGAAAAATAAACCCCAGCTCAAACCTGTGTTTCTCGGAAATCTTTAAATTGATATTTAATAACATCACACTACACCAGTTTATTCATTACTAATGCTGTCTTTTCTTACAGACCGTGTGCTCTGGTTTTGTGGTTTCATGGATCTACAACATGACGTGACGCTCTCCACAGACTCACTCGCGGCTTGTTTGCGAGGTCGTCCCACACTTTGAAAGCTACATTTTCCACTCGGGGACTGGAGCGTCGCATTAACTTACCTGCACTGATTTCTTGAATAATTACACTCTGTACTCTACCATCTCGAATCTCTGTTAATAGCCCTCTGAGACAGTTTAGCATCCTCACCTCACAGAGTGACACACTTTAGAGACTCTTCTTTTATATCCTGACGTCTTTTTCAACTGACAGCAAAGCAGCTCATTCTTTTTTTACTCTCCTCTTGCCTCCTTCTTGCTGTATTTCACATCTTATTTGTGTGAGAAAGGTGATGAAATGCTCCTAAATTACTCTAAAGTGTGATGCATGCCGTGGACGCTCCCATGCCGGTACCCGCATCGACGGAACAACAAAACTGCAAAAAAACAAAAGGAAGTGAGGAAGATTTTCCATGGCACGATGATGTCAGGGCCACAGCAGCGGTCGCTGGGTTCACAGCGAGCTTTCAGAGAAAGCTACTCTGCAGTTGTCGTAGAGCCAAAACGGGCTCAACGGGCTTAGGACCAACAGCTGGTTCTGGTTACCTAGCAACTCCCAAGCTGGGGGCCTCAGTGATGGGATAGTCCCGAAGCGGGAGGAGGAGGAGGGGGCCCGAGCCGATAACCCGGCGTGCTTTCTTTGTGGCAAGTGCAGCAGCGGGACAGGAAAAGCTTGATCTCATGATATCAAATCTTGCCCCCAAAAAAAGGGCAACGTGCCACCGGCCGCCCAACCTGGCAACCCAAACATGGAGCGCAAGTGGCACAAGTTGCACGATCGGTGTTTCTCTGCGGCATTTTCTAGAGAGATATCAGGAACACAAACATGCTCGCTGTGGTACCACGCACACGCGCACACACACACACACACACACACACACACACACACACACACACACAC